AAACAGCTCTGAACTAGCTCCACAGAAATCCCTTCTGGTCTTTCCCCCGGGCCCAACCTGGACTGCCACAGGCAGTCCCACAGTTGTGCTTTACATGGCACAAAAAGTTTCAGCTTTCAGCTCCTGCCTGAACAACAGCTGCCCTCGCCAAAAGTACTGGGACTTGTTTTGCTACTACAAAATAACTTGTGTGCACACAAGCTTTAAATAGGCTCCAGACAAACAGACTGCGATCTGGAGATCCTTTGAGAAGTGGGCACTTGTTCTCTTCAGAGAGTGCCTACTACTGAAAATACAGCAGCAATAGTATCAGAAGCAAGAAACTGCAGGCTTAATAATTGAAAAAAACTATTAAGTCGATATACTTCCTGTCAGTTTGTCGATATAGACTTTACAATTAGACAACTTTATTACAATGATGAATATCCAGAGCATAAGTTAGTAGCGCCTTGCTTATAAATCAGCAAGTTTAGCCAAACAATCCATATTTGCTATTTAATATATTTGACGGCAGTAATTTAGGGAAGATAAACTGAGCTTTACTGGCAATCTGTACCTGCTCTGTCTGAAGCTATGACTGCAGTAGGACAGGTGCCTTTCTTCCACACAATTCCCCATCTTCCATGACCCAGTCCCATGATACCCCAAACAGTACCAGTGGGTGTTTGCATGTGAAGAGGCAAGTGCTGGTGAACATCCAACTGTTACTACGTGCTCCACACCTCATAGACTTGTCCATTTTCTCCCTGCTTCAACTCTGCCCTGAGATCTGGAGTTACAGCTGCTGTCTGTGTAGCCACCTGTTTGGGCCCATCCACGTTTTTCTTCTGATCCTGCATTCTTCTGTCAATTCCTCTGCTAAATCAGAACATGCTTCTATGAGTCACTAGCAACAATCCTGTCCTCTGAACCCTACGGCTGGCACTGGTGTTATTTTGCTTCCTTTGCAAACATTCAGCCAACAAGGTAGCGTGTTTGCTGTCACCACTAGCTGTGCCACCAAAATAAATTATCATTATATATCATGTGGTAACTTGCTAACTCTCTTCATGTACTTTCACTATAAACTCCTTTGGGCAGCAAGTAACTTTTCTAAACTGCACGATTGGATTGCACAAGCAGTATTTATAAACAAATACGGTTCAGATGTGAGCTGTTCCACAGGGTAAATTCTCAAAAGCTGGCACACTAAATTTTTTTCTCAGTCCTTTCTTCTGTCTTATGGTTCTTGCGTTGCCAGTTCTGGTTTTGAATACCTTACATATCATAGCTGGACTTCAGAAAAACAAGGACAACAGGTGATGCTTCACCCACCTCAACCCTGCACTGCATTGCTGCTTCACATAGAGTTATCACTTGCTTTCCTTTGCTTAAAATTCAGTCTAAGTAATAGCTAAGCCTTAATGTGTGTGTTGTGATGGAAGTTATACAGTAGCCAAACGTAGGCAACCTTCACAGAAATCTTGGAGGGCTTTCATCTCTAAGGACCTGTACAAACAATGAAAGTCAAAGCAACTGCACTGATATGAAAAGAAGAAGCCTTGATTTGTAATAGCTGGGGATCTGGGCCACAGCTGGTAAAAACTATGCGACACATACCTATATCCTGGCTGCGGTCATGCCCGTAAACAGATCCTGCTCTTTTATGAGCATACAGGGATGATATACACAGAAAACAAGAGAGAGCTGCCAAGCACGTATATTTATTAAATATGGTTGCTTTGCAGCAGTGCCAAACTTGGTAGCACATTGCATTCCCTCCCCCTGGGCTAGGCAGGGGGGTTCCGTAGCGCGCCTCGGTGCTGCGTCCCCGAGGACTTGGCCCTGCGCATTTCATCTCTGACGCGTTATGATTTTATTTAGAACATGCTTTATTTCTACAGCCGCCAGGCCGCAGAGGCAAGGTGCCAGCCTTCAGCAAGAGGGGGACGGACTATAATTAGAGCAGGCTGGGCTACCACAGGCAGCCTTTGGTCTGCTTAAGTTTCTTGTTTAGCTTAGGTAGGATCAGAAATCTAATCAGGAGGAGTTACAGCACAGCGCAGGCACTAGCAACAGCTCTTCTGTCCAGTCAGTTACTATCTTTTATTTTTTAGGTACCCAGATACAGCCACTCACCTTTCCTTAACAAGAACAGCACTACCATTCATCTGTGCTTTCTTCCAGCTCTCTTAGTTTTCTGCAAACTCTCACCATGCAAACCGTCACAAATTTTCATGAAACTAGCTGTTCATAAGGGAAACGCATTCCTCCATTCGTAAAACAATAAATAAAATGAAACCCCAAAATTAAGTGGCCAGAGGTAACACAAATTTCATCTTTTTGAGGCTCACGGAGCTTTAAGAAGAGATGTTTACTAGTTCTTGCTCTAATTTGTATCACCATCGTCTAGGCTCACTAGGGGCTATCCCCGGAGTTGTTTGTACAAAGCAGGAACATTGTTGCTGCAGGGCAAATACACAAAAATATCTTCAAGAGCCCAGGCCAGCACCCGAGTTATTTGTTTTCCTCATAGGTATTTATACTGAGCTTTTTCTTCCCTCATTTTGTGCTTGTCTCAGAATATTATTAGAGAGAGAAACCATACTTTCACAGATTTCTGCTGCCTCGCATAGCTTTCAGTGAGTATATTTTATTTATAGCACAAAGCTAATGGAGGTCATCTTTTAACAGTGCATTTTAGACTCAAACAGTTGAGCTGGTTCCTTGAAAAGCTAGGGGTGTGGAGTTCAAAGAGGATTGCAGAGCAGTAGTTCCCCCATTTCCTCACCCTCCAGGACGCACTCCTAAGAGGGACAACATTGAAAATAATTTAAGGACACATTATCTCAGTGTTATGCTATGCATCCAAGCAGATGGGATTGCTTACGTCAACAAAAATTAAACACCAAATATTATACTTGCAAGCAAATCGTCAAGTCTTAGGGAGACAGCTGGATCTCATAAATCTTCACCTTCTACCAAATATTTAGTCTACATCCTTTGAAAGAGCACTTGTGGGCCTGCGTACCTCTAACATGCTACACAACCTGCTGCTCGTCTGCGAAGCCAGAGCAAAACCTGCCTGTGTACCTGTGCCACAAAAGAGGTTAGCACCGCACATTTTCGGCAGGCAGGCAGACCTCTAGCCCCTGCCCAGGGATCTCAAAATTGTGGGTTCTGCCAAGGCTACAAAGCTTTGGTGTGTGCCCACAGCACCAGGGGCCTTTTCCTCCATGGGCACAGACACCCCCATGGCTCCAGCCATGCCAGGACAACTTCCCACTGTCAAGCCCCCAGACTAGGCATCTCCTTCGTGGCAGGACAGATTCCCACAAGTCAAACCTAAGAGCTGGTTTACAGGAAGTAAGTTTTTCTTATACTTTCAGATGCATCCCTGCTTATTACTATCAGTTACAGTTATTGTGGCTTCATCACTGCTGGCACTTGCTGAACCAAGGATAAAACACCATAAATTTGAAGGCTAGAAGCTGAGTACTGCTGGCCTACAAAAACCCATGGACCCAACAGACACACTGAGCTCATGGTTTATCGCAATTTTTCTCCTGGCCCCTCTCTCCAGGCATTAATGATTTTTCAGTTCCACAAAGTTTAATAGCCTGCAAGCATTTTCTGCTCACAGGTGCCTCTTCCCTCTGCATATTTAATCAATTAATATATGAAGGAGCTATAAGGACAACTGCACCTCACTTGTATTTAGCTTGGATCTTGTCAGACTTGGAAGTCAAGTGACTTCCAGCTCAAGGTTTGTAGGCCTCAAGCTCCCCAAGAATACCTGTTGGTTTAACCACTGATGACAGTCATCCTGTGCCAACCACTGGCGTGGTAAAAAGGTAAACGCTTTTGAACCCTGAAACGTTCTGCTGAATTCCTGTAGTAAGAGGACAGAGCTGATTAATAACGTGCAGGCATATTTGAGTCTCGTTTCCCTTTTAAGTCTGTGACTTAGCAAGCCCAATACCACTCTTCTGTCATAAGCTGTTATTTGGTGGGGGGGAAGGTTATTCCTAGGCTTAGGGGAGCTGGTTGGACACTGTAATTTCTTGTTACAAGTAACAGTAACTGCATAAAACTTTAGCAACCTCCAGTTTATATCCATTAGCACCATTCAACCTGCCTTGCCCACTAGCACCATTCAACCTGCCTTGCCCACTAGCATATGACTTGTTGCACTAGAGTACTTATCAGGGAGGAGAAAAATAGCTTTGGTAATAAATTTCAAAGCTATTCCCCAACAGCTTGAGGACTCCTCATAGTGCCAGGTCTGTGTATTTGCCATCTCTCTCACTACCTATCCAACACGCTGATCTCCACTCCCTCCTCTTAACCAGAACCCTGAACCCCTACTTGATCTTGGCCCTAATGTCGCCTTAACCCCACAGCTCCTCACCTCTCATTTCAAGCCAGTTTCCCTCTCCACTTCCAACGGTCTCTGGCTTCCACGCTCCGTCCCTTACTTGCCGCTTTCCCATACCTTAACTGTCAGCAGCATTTGGCAGTTTGCTCTTCCTCCTGCATCTTGCTCGGATGCCAGCTGGTGGCAGGACCAGTAACAGACATAAAGCCCAGCAGCCTCTCTCTCAGCAGAGCAGTGTGTGGTTCTCAGGAGCAGTCCCTGGAAAGCAGACTTGATGCAGCACAGGCGACTCACCTTTGTCAAATATCAATTCCTCTTCCCAAAGCCAGCGTGTGCTGCAGCCAGTTTATGTTTAAATCAGAAAAGAAACACATTGCAGATAAGGGGAATTTCAAAGAGAATTTCAGGTACAACTACAGTAACAAACTACTCAATCACATCAGGTTTTGGAGAACCATAGTGAATCTGATAAAGAAAAGACAGAACTTTGAATGCCATATAAAGTTGTTCACGACGGAGGGAAATTCTAGTAACTTTTCCTGCAAAATGATGACGTTTTATCTAAGTACTGCAAACCATCCTTATAAACCCATACATTCCTTCTCCACAGCTCTAGATGTTTGAATAATATACTTTGTCCGTATTAAAACGACACTCCAGAGAGTTTTATTTGTAGACTACCATTACAAACAGATATAAAACCAACAGAACATAAAAACTTGTTACAAAAATAAACTAAAGCAATAAAACAGTGCATTTTGCTCAACAGTTTAATTTCAATACCATCTTCAAGAAAAGTTTACTCCATCAAACCTGAATATTTCAGTATTCATTATAGCTTCTATGGCGTATTTAAGAACCTAAGTCACTTTAACAAACATTCTATCTAATACAATCAAGTAAGCACAAGGAGTTTCTATGAAGGATCATATAATAGTTTCCATAGCCTAAATGTGTATGGACAATACTATTTAGAAAAAAAGTCAAACCATTTAACAAGGTGAGCATATTTGCACTGTGGTTAAACTGAAAACAAACAATTCAAAATAATTTCTGAACTTACAAGTTGTGATAAAACAAAGGCACGTTTCATTTTAACGTAAATTCACACTTCAAGAAGGTAAAAAGTTTTGTGCCTAGGCAACTTGTTCAAGTCATTGCAGCACAATCAAACAACTCCAATAGCATGTTTCTGAACTTTCAATAGAAAGATCTGGTTTCGAGTTCTTTAATCCAGTTTTAATAAGGGAGAAATTAAATTAGAAACAGGAGGGTTCTCCCTCCCATATTTTCAGACTGTAAATTATATTGCTTTCTCATTGGAAATCTTAGTTTTCCTGTCAAACTTTGTTAAGTTTGGTAACTATCAGTACCCTCACGGTTTGGTCAAATGCACCACAGACACACAGTCCCTTTTTGTCAGGGCTCCAGTCTAGGCTAGAAATCGGCTGTGTTGACAAAGTTACGTTCTGCAAGAGGCTGACAGAACCTGCCACCCCCATCTCAGCTCCTTCAGAATCCTTCTTTGAGCGCTGAGCAGGGTATTCACTGGCAATAAGAAAAGTAAAACATGCATTTTAAATTTAATTATAGAAACATGATCATCCTTTTCATTTTCAAAAGCTCAACGAGAAGGGTTTCCTCTGTTCTCAAGATGAGGCAAGCAAGCATCTTAAGAATAATGAATCATTACATCCAGCTACATCCACACTGCATTCTCAGTGAATATTTAATGATGCAATTCATCACTGTTCACAGAATCCAACGGGGTGAGAGATTTGCAGAGACAAACAAACAGTCCAGACCAGGCAGTCCGACCTGAAGGATCTCACTCACAGTCATACTGTACACAGGGGCAGCGTACACAGCGCTTGTACGGTCCTTAGATCTAGCACACTCTGGCATGGAGGAAGGGGTTGGGAACATGATGAAGTCCCACTTTGTTCAGAATTAGCCCTTCAGTATGAGGGCATTATGAACAGTGGACACAACAAGGCAGGAAGTTTTGAATTCTGACACCTCTCTCCCGTACCTCCGTATTTTTCAACTGCTTGACTTTTGCCACAGGCAAGAAAATCACATCTCAGCAATCCCTATGAAACATAAGGGTAATTGTGACCTACTTCACTGCATTATGATGATTAAATTATTTTGGCATGGAACTGAGAAGATGTAAAGATAAGAATTATTATAGGCTTGGCTTTCAATATTTTTCTCAGCCATAACTGCTACCATACAAGAATTTTAAGAAATCCATTTTCTTCCATTTATCAGCCTGTGAACTGAGAATATAATTGGATCTCAATTACGTTAAGATAAGTGACAAGGGCACAATTCACCTATGCTGTCGTCAATCACATTCTTTTAGGGATTAATGTAGGCTTCAGCATCAAGTAGTGACACAGAAATCACTTTTCTACTGCACTGGTAAACAGTAATTTTAACTAGATAAACCGAGCTTGGGAGCAGGACCGACTCATTGTTTTCAGGAAGATTCTTTCATAAAAGAATATATGGTTGTTTTGGTTTCTTATTTCCCCTTCTGTAAAATGGAGAGTGATCACTTACTATTTCCAGAGATGAAGGCTCCCAGCTCCTCCACTCGTCATAAATATATCTCTGTTCTGTGGAAGGTGCCGAACCTGCCACATGGTAGATTTGTGAGCCTAATAAAAAACAGCATTGCATGGAAGTCAGTTACAGATTATCTTCACGAGAAAGGATGCAGGATCTTAAACTGCAATCACCTGTGTGAACAGAATCCAGCCTTCTGGCGGCGGACCCCGGAACATCCATTCTGAGATACCTTCCCTTCCTCCTGCCTTAAAGCCCGCTGCCGCAGGAGCAGCCAGTTCCCACCCAGGGGGAATCAAGTCAGGCCTCCAGTGCACCCCATCCTCTGCAGGGACACAGCAGCAGCCCTACCAAGGCTACCACCACCTTGATGGAGTCAACCCACGCATACACTTCAGCTTTGTCAGCGCTGGCTAAGCGAGCGTGAAGTGGCTGCGTAAAAACGTACTTTGGAACTGCTCTGTACCTACAGGATTCCCAAGCTCTTAGGTGATGCAGTCACCACAACGTTAATTTTAAGAGATAGACACTAAAATCATTATTGCAAGAGAACATATTACAAACACTACAAACACTATGCAAACCTGACAAACATATCAACAAATCAAATATAAATCAAGTCTGGGCGCAGAGCAAAATCGCATAGCAACAGAAATTACTTGAAGAAAAACCCCTACACACTTATCCTGACTTAACGCATATCTGTCTACAAACGTCCAAAAGGAAGAGTTTAACTGCAACAAATGAACGATAAGGATTTCGTTTTCACATTTTGACTATTACAAGCACTAATTCAGTAAATGCTTCTGTGTTAACTAATCAAGATACTTCCAATATCTTATTTGCTTTCAACGGGGATGTGGAAAACAGGAATTTAAAGATACTAGATTGACACTGAAGTTTTTCCTAATTTAGGCAGTCCTGGGGAACTTCGTCATTAAAGCTCCTTCTCACTAATCATCAGCAAATCTTTTTCACGAAAACTGCTGCTGCTTTATAAAGCGCTTGCACTAACCAACACAGTGGTCACGGATGGAAAAAAAAAAAAAAAGATATCAGAATTCTCCACACACAACATCCTCCAGGCCAGTCTCTCCTAAGTCTCTCTCTGCTCATTCCCAATATCCCAACTACTTGGTTCTGAAGCAAAAAAAAATGATTTTTATGAATTATATGAAGCCTAGTCACTGCAGGAAAAAAAGCAGTTGCAGAGCGCTAACTTTATTTTGGGATACAGTTAAGATTCAAATCTGCATGATCATCACAATTTGATATGGCCGCCAATAAACATGACTGCAAGACTAGGGGCACTGTTGAGTGCACAGAGGTGCAGAGGACCAAAAGACCAGAGAAGCCCAAATATCAGTTTATAAAAGGGAGGAAGGCTTGCCGAGCGCTGGCAGTGCGATGCATCAGAGGAGTCCTTTCACTGCTCACACCAGGGGCCACGCCAGCCAGCTATGTCGCTGCATACATAGTTCTTGCCCCAGTAACCTGGGCATCTATTAGATATCACAGACAACAGTTTTAAACCTGTAGTGTTTCCAGATACTTTAGCAACATATATTCAAAGTTTCTCACATAGCAAGACGTTCTTCAACTCCTCATACCTTTTCCGAAACAGAAGCAAAACCTTTGGTTGGATGCTGAGTTCTCATATCAAAAACATGAAACTTTCCCTCAAGTGATGTGGCCACTAGCTTGTTCATGTTTACATCTTTCCTGTCAAACTCCACACTGCAAACCTGGAAATACAACAATAGACACATTCAAGCTTGAAATTCAGCCACCGATAAAAAAATTTTTTTCAGATTTGTAAATATATAATCTAATCATTTGTCACTTTTACAATGACAATAACAACGTCACCAACTTGGAAATAACAAGATTCAAAAAGATCATCTAAAAACATGAATCCACCAAAACAGTTTACTGATAAAATACCTCATGCTATCCAGACTTAAGAACTTCAGAGGTACAATCTGCTGAACTTGCGAAAAACAATTCCTTGGTACAATCCCAGAAGAAAAGTCTTCTGAGTAGATTTTCAGTAGACCAAGTGCCCTTTTAGTTTTTCCATCCTACATATAAGCTGGAATGAAAACATGCTTGTATGATACATTACCCCATTCTTAATATTGGTCTCCCATCGTAGTGACATGGTTTTTAAGTCAAACAATTTAATGTCCCCATTGTCATATCCAGCACATACAACACGTTCCTCTTGATTGTAAGCGTTTCCTGGACACAGAGAAAGAACTAATTAGAGTACAGGAAACCCCCTTTAGACGGTACGTTTCAGAAATCCTAAGTCTGCAGTTTCAACTTACAGAAAAAATATTACTATTGAAATATTAAGATTTAATGAACGGGCTGCTCTTCAAACCAGAAAGGTATAGAAAATACAGCTTCAAAACTGGTAGTCTGTTTCTTTAAACAATATGAGCAAAATCCTTATTCCCCTCCAAGTACTGATGAAATTACAAAGACTACTTCATCTGGATACACGCATCCTTGAGAAGTAGTTGGATTTGTTCACTGATAATAAATTCCTATGTCTGGTAAACAATGCACTACTAGGAGTTCAAGTAAACTGCAGCTACCTTTCATCTGAACAAACAAAAATGCTCTAAAATGCTCAAAAATACAAAAATGTATTAGCAAAAAAGGCAATTTTATAAAATTAAAATAATAAAAAACCCTATTCTTTCAGTAAATTCATATTGGCCTGAACACGCAAAACCAAAATGACCCAAAAGCCTGTGGGCAAGGCCAAATTGGCAGTTCACGTTACAACAGGGCAAAGGCAGCTCCAGCAAGAGGGACAGCTGCCTCTTTGCACAGCCCAACACGCCATCACAAAGCTCCGTGGACCTGCTCACGAGACCAAGCTGCAGCGGGCAGAATGTGGCTGTTGTAAATCATTGTCCTCAGACAGGACCACAGCAGCGTGGCAGAAAGCGAGTCGGAATCCTTACCCAGCCTCTCAAGCGTGAAACGTTCCTGAGATAAGAGTGTTCTGCAGGCAGACTTGAGGAGCCTCCCAGGAGGCCCTGGGAGCTACCATGGCCATCACTAGACACACACTGAAGCCAGTCTCCAAAAACTGACTCTCAGCTGACAGGATCAAGGAAGCACATCAGTGTCTGAAATAAGTTAGCTCTCAGATGAAGGGTACATAGGTCAAGATAAACCTGGCCTTGGCTCAAGCATCAGTAACTCAAAAGAAAATTAAAGGAAACATATGTCACTCTTATGTCACTCGTCAAAGCGAAAGACGAAGATGTCAACAGCAACAAGGATTATAGTTCCACCTTCTTGCCAAGGAATGTCATCTCCCTACTATCAATTTCATTCTTATAATCCATGCACTTCTTGACAGCGTGTAAAACTTACTTCCTGAGACTGGAGGCAGAAATGGAGCTAATCCAGAAATTCCAGCACAACAAGCATCTTGTTCTCATCAAAGGAAAAATGCTGGGCACACAACAAGCATCTCTGCTCTCTTTAATTAGCTCCTAGCTTCAAGGATTTTCTCTTAATATTAACGCCTGAATGTGTTAAAGATGGAACTATGCCACAACAGTGATTGCTTCTCTGTGCAGTGTAACAATTACACTCCTTCAGGACAACGCAGCTGCAAGTGATTTCAACTTCCAAGGCACAAAAATAAAACCCACACAGCTTTTCTGTGAAATGATTAACCAAAGAAGTTAAGATAACGAGTCCAAAACCAACTACCACAAAATTTGCTTCTTTTGAAAAAACAATACATTAAAAACGCATAAGTTTAACAACGGTGAAAAGCAAAATCCACTACTGATGTATCCATACAAAATAAGTGTTCCATAACGTTGTGAAATACTTGATGACTGTCAAAGCACAGTTTGTATTAGAGGGAGGAATAGTTATAATCAGGTTATAATTTGGTTACCAAATGCTACTGTCCAGCAGTCTCTTCTGCTCTCTCCCTGTACAGGTTCCATATTAGCAACAGGAGTATCTTTCTGTCTTGGGTCCCATACCTTTACAGTTCCTGTAAAAGAATGACAAGGGATTTTGCATTATGGACAAACTGTCACACTGCCTTCATTTTCCCACTGAAGGCCTTTGCTCTTCAGCCTGCTCATTCAAAATGCTGTAGCATCTCTTTCAATTCCAGAAAGCCAGACTACACTTAGCGGTTGGAAAAAATAAAGCAGAAATGAAGGATATACTTTCCCTAGCGAGCATTTTGTATTTATTCTGCTTTGTATTCCTTCTGTTCCTTGCTCAGTGATATCTTCTACTAATCTACAGCTTCTAAAAGAATTACAGAAATTTTGTCCCAAGTAAGATTCAAGAGATAGCACAGGAAGAACCAGTTGCAACAGATTTCTAACTACTTCAGACGGCAGACTGTCCGCTGCCAAAGCTTACAGACTACTTTCTTGGAATAATTGAAAAGACTTTTAGAGTACACTAACTCACCATCTCGACTGCCAGTCACAATTTCTGGTGCACCTTCCCCAATTCCTAAGCCACCTACACCATCTATACTGTTTATGATTTCCTTATGAGCTTTCACAGAATATACTGGTATTTCAGGAGCTTCTAAATTCCTAGGCAAGAAAAAAAAGAACAGATAATATGGCATTTTCCTTGATGCTCAGGACTGGTATAAAAATGAGAGGAAACATAGTATGAGCACAACAGGTAAGAGCTCAGTTTCACACTGAGAACAAAACACTGGTATCAACATTCAGAACCTAGAATCTTTCACTGATTTGTTCTTTGGCTATTAATTTGGACAGCTCTGAAAGTTTTTGCTCAGTTCTAGACTTCCCTTTTTGTCAAGCTACTTGGGGGAATCATCACAGCCACCTCTAAGAACTGGTCTTTGTGTGGGGCTCAAAAAGAATCACACTGCAGATCAAAAATGCTCCCAATACCAATTTACTCCCCATAAGGATATAAGACAACTCTGTCCATCCATCCTCCTCCCATCTGACAACTGCTCTTCCAGTTCAAAGAAGAACTGAACCCAAGTATGGACTTTACGGATCCTGCCCACTGACTCTCGGCCTTTGAGAGCTCTTCCTAATTTTATTTTGAATTTTTAATTTCCCTTCAACTAATACCCAACCCACATCATTGCTCGTATTCCAACAAAATAGAATCAATGGTTCCTTGCCGAGGGAAATACAATAAAAAAAGTAAGTAGGGTCAAAAAAGTGTTTTTTTCATATCACTTTAATTTACCCTCACAAATTAATCAGGGACCTTAAAAACAATCTGAAATACTGAGACTAAAAAGTGTATGCAATCTAGCCATGAGATTTAGGTTGAAAATAGTCTCCTGTTCATACTCACACACCTATCCAAAAAAAGCCTCTTCTAATAGAAAAAAAGTACTTTTCCCCAAAAACAATTAAAGTTCCTTACAGATTTCTGTAGCTGAAAACAGAAGATGTAAATGAAACAGCGTTAAATTAAACTCCTGTGCAGCATTCTTTTTTATTGTGTGAAAAGAGGTGTGTTCCTGTACATTAGTCCATAAGGCTTGTGACTGGGCCCTAATTAACACAACACAGATCGCATTTTCTACAAAGAAAATAAGCCAAATACAGAAACATTAGTTCAAACAGAACACGTATAACATCAAATGAAAAAGCTTCAACAGAAAACGTAGTCTTACCATATATTAAGGTTTCCACCAAAATCTCCTGTAGCTAAGTATCTTTGCTGCAGCGATGTAGCACCAAAAGTTCCACATTTTAGAGGTTTAGCTTTTTCAATCTTTTTAAAAAAAAGGATATACTTTGTGTCAGCACATTAAAGTAACAGATCACAGACTGCAGAAGCTGATTCTTGAAAGCCCACTGGTGACAGATTTCCGTGAAACTTTCAGAGGTTATTCAGCCTAGAATACAATCAGAACACTCCCTGCCCAAAGGCAAAATTACACTTTTATTTCTAATCGCACAGAAAAGCAGCGACTTCAGTTTAATGGCCTTAACACAAACTCTCTCACCTCAGCTTGCTAACGACACTCCGAGACCAACAGCTCTGCTGTCTCTGCTGATTTGCAAATATAACATAGAGGGAACTGTAGCTCTCCGCAGAGCCCTGCTAGGACGCAGAGAAAGGGATCATTACGAGATTCTATTAGTCTGTAATAGCGTGGTTTATGTGCCTTTGATGTTTTGTCCCTACAGAACTGTATTAACAGAGGAAGCTGAGGTACTTGGGTGCCAGTGGGTCACGAGCTCCCACTGAGCACCTGAGCCACACGGCTGCTCCTGAAGATCAGCAAATCCTTAAAGGCTGGTTTCGTTTACAACCCTGCTGCTCCACGCGGACGTTCAAAAAGGCCACCGCCACGGAAGCGAGCGATGAAACCGTCGGCCAACAGAGCCGCGCACCCTTCCCACGCGCGGCCTGCTGCGGCCAGAGTGACAGGTTCACGCGTGGCGCAGCCCAGGGCCAGGCTGGGCCGGGCCTCCGCGCCAAACCCGAGAGCTCCCGGCTCTTCCTTCAGTGCGAACCGGGAAAGCAATGGATAACCCGACACCGGGCTATTAGGGTGAGGCAAATCGGAAACCTCTCAACATCGGAACTGGCGTTAGCACAGGCTACGGCCTCCCAGTACCGAGTCGGGAGAGGACCTAAAAGGCCCCCTCGGGCCCATCCACTTAAGAGGCCGTGAATTAAAGCTGGGCACAAAATGGAGCCCCCACCCCCAAAATGGAGGGCTCCCCTCGCAAAGTAACGGCCCGCGCATCGCCACAGCAACGG